GTCTCCCTGGGTAACATTTCCAAAATGATCCAAATGGTTATCTGGAATTGTAAGCGACACTTTGAATATTTTAATTTGAGACCAGCTTTTTATCTTTATCTCGTCTGGAAAGACAGAATAATAAAAGAGGGTGAATGCCACAGTGATATGAATGTGTAAGCAAAGGTCATTTCATGCATACTGAGCCAATTAAAAGAGTCGCTGCTAAATACAATCTCTCTGCTCTGAAACTGTCACTGGAGCAATTTAAAGAAAGCCGAAGCGTTTCTGAACATTTTTATTGTGAAATATCGAACGAGACGACGATGAGGGAAATCCAGGAACATCAAGAGAGGGGACGAAGAGCTCCGCCACTGGAAACAACATCAATGTTTGCTTTGAGTAAAATCAACTAATTATGTTTTAGTTTTTTCCAAGTCATTTCTTCCTTATGTTTTTCTATCAGGGTGTGAAAATAAAAAGTAAAAAGTTTAATAATGAATTCTGTAAGGGTTTTATTATCTTTGAAAGCATTCTGGTGGAATCTGAGCGTTTGCGTGTGGTGGGATTTCAAGAAATGGTTTAAGTCCTGCTCAGAGAAGCATATTTTCATTGGTCTCATCTGCTGCAGTGATGCAAAGAAAATCACATCAATTTGCATTTTTATGAGAAAAAGATTTGCGACTCAACTCGTCCCGTCCGAGGCCTCAGGAAAGAATGCCTCTTTGTGTCTTCAGAGACTCGAATGACCAAACCTGGAAGATGTTTACTCAGTTGTTCTGTGAAAGACCCTCTAAATTACATTTATGATAGAAATGTTTTTGTGCTGTTGTTACGAGTACGGTGACCCTGAAGTACAAACCACAACTGCAAATTAAAAAACTAATATGTAGTTGTGTTTTTAATATGTTGTGTTTTTTTTTTTTTTCTTTGTAGTTGCAGTTCAGGGCCACCGTATATGAGTTCTTGGAGCCCTAACACACAAGCTGACAGGTGAAACTCAAAAGGATGATTAAACGCCTTTAAAAGGCTCATTCAACAATAGCTGTGGCAAAAACACATAATAAAATAAATAAAGCCGTCATGGATTAAACATGCTGAAATTAACTTTAATAAAACCACTGTTTTGATTTGCTGTGTTCTGGTCCCACAGCGTCCCAGTGGACCCTTGGCCGTTTGCGTTTTCCTCCTTGTTGTGATGGCTGTAACACATCTGGCTGCAGAAAACAAAATCATGTTGAAAACTTTTCTTTATGAGCAACATTTAAACTCTGTGACGTTGCCAGCATCAAATTTGTAGAGAATAAATAAAAAAATTCTGTCATGTTTAAGATATTTGAAGTAACTTTTCCCTTATTTTAAATTTCATTGGAGTTCATAAATGTAATTTAGAGGGCCTTTCATAGACCAACTGAGTAAACATCTTCCAGGTTTGGTCATTCGAGTGTCTCTGAAGACACAAAGAGGCATTCTTTCCTGAGGCCTCAGATGGGATGAGTTGTCACTGCTTTCACCCACCTGGAGCAGAAGAACTCCTACGTCCATTCGCTCTTTGTGGATTTCACATCTGCCTTCAACACCATGATCCCCCAAACCCTGATGGACAAACTACTCACAATAGGACTAAGCCCCTCCATTTGCAACTGGGTCCTGGACTTTTTAAGCAACAGACCACAGTCTGTGAGGATCCACAACTTCTTCTCCTCCATCATAACCCTCACCACTGGCTCTCCTCAGGGCTGTGTGTTGAGCCCCAACCTGTTCACTCTGCTAACATATGATTGTGCAGCTACCCATCCAGGCTGTCATATTTTAAAGTTTGCAGATGATAGAGTGGTGGTGGGATGCATCACAAACAATGATGAGTCCAGCTACAGACAGGAGTTGGAACACCTGGAGAGCTGGTGCAGGAAGAACAACCTTCACATCAATGTGAAGAAGACAAAAGAGATGTCATGGATTTCAGACGTAACAAACACACCTACCTCCACCCACAAAAATAGGATGATCTGCGGTGGAAGTGGTCTCTAGCTACAAGTACTTGGGTGTGCACCTGAATGACAACCTGAGCTGGAGCAACAACACCACCAGCCTGATCAAGAAAGCTCATCAGAGACTCTACTTCCTCAGGCGTCTGAGACGAGCTGGTCTGGGAAGCTCAGTCCTCACCTCCTTCTACAGGTGTGCAGTGGAGAGCATCCTGTGCTCCAGCATCAACGTGTGGCATGGAAGCTGCACAGCTGCAGAAAGAAAAGCTTTGCAGAGAGCGGTGAAGGCTGCACAGAAGTCTGTCGGAGTCAGTCTCCCCGCCATCACAGACATTTACACCTCCAGATGCAGGAAGAGGACCGCCTGCATCATGAAGGACCCCACTCACCCAGCACACACACTTTTTGTCCCACTCCCCTCAGGTAGAGGAGCATTAAGTGTAGAACCACTAGACTGAGGAACAGCTTATACCCTTAGGCTGATAGACTCATGAATATCTAACCAGGAGAATCACTGTAATGACACTTTAATTGGTGATGTCACTTTATCTATGCTGCTGTATTCACACCCATCTGCTCACAACAGACTCATGTTCAGGCTGTTGTTTAACACATCATATTATATTATATCATTATTGTTAAGTGTATATCTTAGATCCTTGAATACTGTTTCTTCTTTTTAAATATACTTTATATTTTTGCTATTTTCGGTGTAACTGGGATCTTGTGTACACAATTTCATTCCACCTCATGTACCACATATGATGCAAATTACAATAAAGAACCTTGAACCGTGAAAAGGTTCCATGTAACTGAACTGATTCATCTTTGTGAAGCAGTTGGACCCTGATATGTTGTATACATTTAAATCAATAAGGAACAAAGATGACTTATGAGAAGGATGGGTGCTCAAAAACTGCAGTTTCAGTTTTTGTGCTTTTAAAGCTGTTAGTTTTATGCATTTTTATGGACTTTGTTAATCAGTACTTTTGTTGGGTTTTTGTCTTTTACTGTTGTTTATTTTCTTCTTCTTCATTTCAGTTTATCATAAAAAAAACCAATTTTTATTAGTTAATGGTTCTAAATTCTATAGTAAATAACGTAACATTTACTCTGTATTGTTCCTTAAATCTAAACAGAAATGTCTTTCTGAGGAATATTTAGGTCCCCGTTGTGTCCAAAGGCTGTTTTTTTGCTGCTCTGACATGTTTGTTCTGGGTAAATGTTCTGTCTGAAGCAGAGCTGCAGCCAACAAAAGCTTCTGCAGTCTCACGTACTTTGCCAAAACCTTGTGAGCGTCTTTCAAAGTGACAATTTGATGTGATAGAGAATGACAAGAACAACTAGCGGGCAAAATTTCGTGGAAGTCGGTGGAGACGATGAAATGTGGATAAAGGCGAACATGTAAATTTTATCCTTTAAATTTTTCCTCAAAGACACTGAAGTTACCAACTCTCTGCTGCAGCTCAGAAAGGGCACGGTTCTGACTAAATGGAGGCTTTGTTCTCCATGAGTTCTCGGTTTGGGGTTTTGAAAGAGCAGATTTTATTTACAAATGAGCAGAGGATGCTAACAATTTAAACACTGATCTATTAGCACGCAGAGTATTTGTTGTGAATGACTCTCAGCTACTACCACACCAAATTCTAACTCAAACTGACGGAGTTTCAGACACTTGTTGCGTTGAAGTGTGATAAGCTGCGGCGTCCATCTTGACTCAGATTCACTCCAAAAGTTAACCAGTTACAGACGAACAGGTAATAATTACCTTCTGAGAGTTTCATTTCTATCTGTCTAGTGCTTCATAAGATATTTTGCTAACAGTCAAACACGTGCACATAATGCAAAATTATTTATGTAAACATGCAAATTTAAAAAATGTATTATTTCACAACATGTCGAACGTCACAGTTTAAACATAGAGTGCTGTTTTTGTGGTATAGGTTCAAGAACAAATTGTTTTTTTCTAGTTCATCCAAACGATCCAGTCCCCCGGCACAAACAGAGTAATATTGTGTATGTTGTTCAGTGTCAGGAGGGTGATCAGTCTTACATCGGGGAAACTAAACAGCCACTGGCCAAAAGGATGGCCCGGCACAGAAGATCAACATCATCAGGCCAGAACTCTGCGGTCTTCACTCATCTGTAGGTCAGAGGTCACTCGTTCAGGGATGAAGATGTGCACATCCTGGATCCCCTTCCTACAGCGCTGTTATTATTTTATATATTGTCACTCAGCTGTGAATAGCAAGCAGCCATCAGAGCACTAACCATCAGTCATTAGACTGATGGTCCTCCGTTATGTGAACAAGTTTTGTCTGTAAGTGTTGGATAAATTAAATATCCTTTCATCATTTCTTTACTCAAACAAGCCACTCTGAAGACACGAGAAGATTTTCAAACTGGTCTTTACTTGCAAGGATGTCACGAGGAAGCTTTTACCAGTTTAGCCTCGTCTGTGAGAATTTGCCTCGGTCAAAGAGGCAGGAAAAGCAACTCTGTAACGTGCACACATTAGTTTAACATCAGCTGATAAACAACATCCATAACATTTACTTAAATTCTCTTGACAAACAGCCAACTGGTTCATCCACTGGGAGAAGGTGACATTTATAAGACTGAGTTTGTTGCAGCTCCTCAGACTGACAAAGTCTTTTGGATAAAAGATGCAGGATACTTTGATTTGGTAGATTTATAACATCAAAGTTGTTAATTTTCAGAATCCACATCTGGCTGATTCAGAAGACACTGTGAGTGAAACTCTACATGCGCTCTTATAAAGTCTGCCTGGTAAACTGGTGACCAGTTTGGTCTCTGGTTGCATCATCTCTGAGAAGGGACGTCCAAACTGCACACGTGACCAACTCATATATGTTATTGAATTCATGTGTAGTTCCGTTTTCTTCTAACAGGTCTTTCCCATCACTCAGCTCCAAGTGGTCCGTGACGTGACGCACGCGCCTGCAGGAGGCAGTTTATAAAGCAGCCAGAAAACAACCGGAGTGCAGACCGTCCTCCACCTGTGCGCGCTGGATGGAGGATCTGTTGGTTTTACCCGCGGAGGACAGCGCGCCTCTAAATGTCTCCGGGGGGGTCTGGGGTCCCGCCCCGGAGCAGCACCAGTACATCATCTGGATCCCCAGCGTCGGGATCGCGGTGGTCTACGGCATCATCATCCTCGTGGGTCTGGTGGGGAACGTGACCCTGATGAAGACGTGTCTGCTGGTGAAGTCCATGCGCACGGTGCCCAACCTGTTCCTGTCCAGCCTGGCTCTGGGGGACCTGCTGCTGCTGGTCACCTGCGCCCCAGTGGACGCCAGCCGGTACCTGCTGGACCAGTGGCTGTTCGGTCGGCTCGGCTGCAAACTCATCCCGTTCATCCAGCTCAGCTCCGTGGGGGTGTCCGTGTTCACCCTGACTGCGCTCTCCGCGGACCGGTACCACACTGACCTCAGACCTGCTGTCACCAAATCCAGCCAGATTATTGACACTTAGGGCTAAAATAAGAGCAGTTCAGGTTTGGAAGACATGAGCTCACCTCCAAACAAACTTAACAAGAATTAAAACGTGTCTTTTTATAGTCACTTGAAGTTTTATCTGGATTTATGCGTCTTAAAACATGATAAAGAAGCAACAGATGAACTTTGGCACAGTCTGGTTCGCTCCAGCATCTTGACTTGTTCAGTTTAATTTGAGCTTCAAGGAATTTTTCATTTAAGTCAAGTAGTTCTTTGACTCGTGTTTCTGTTTTTATCCTTCTCAGAATTTGGCCTTCGTTAAATAAAACGTGAACATAATAAAAATGCTCTGAATCCACTGTTTCTCATGTGCAAAACACATGTTATATGTTTCACATTCATGTTTTCACTTGACTTTTCTTCTGTTTTCTCTGTAAAGGTGCATGAACTTCTCATTTCTAATAGTAAAATATCAAATTCAATAGATTTATTTAAAAAGAGTTTTCCCCTAACATGAAAGCTTTAATGAAATGAACTCTGTTTGTGTCAAATAGAACAGTCTTCACTGAGAACATGGAACATGTTTTGCACATGATAATCAAAGATTTAGAACAAACAAAAAACATGGACGTCATGTAGAAGATCACACAAATTCACACGTGGACACATGTTAAAATACCACGTGAAACACGACAGGTGTTTGTGTGCGGGGCACATTTTCAATATATGAACATGTAAATAGCCTTTGTGTGGAAATATTCACATATTTTAAAACCACTGCGAGCAACTCTTTAGCTTTTTGTCATTTTTGTTACAGATCGTGGCGATAATTCCAGCAAACACGCACAAAACAAAAGAACCACGACAAAAACGCAGTGCGTTGTCAAAGAAAAAGAAAATAAATCAAAATATTTACACACACGTACACAATTAAGTCTATTCCAATTGATTAGTGAGACTCTTTTTAGTTCCAGATGTGTTGGTGTGCAGCTGCATGACAAACATCTGTAAAACACAGACTGATAATTATAATGAAAGTACTGAAACCAGCATATTGATAGTAAGAAAATAAAGTGTAACATAGTGACTGTACCAACAGTGGCAGCATCACCACAGAAATCAATATATTAATACTGCTAATGATAGTAACCAAATATAAAACAAGTACAAAGAAAAGTAAATAAATAAAATACCAAAGCTGCCACCACACAACCACACAGCAATTTTTTACTTCGGCTATTTAGCCAAAGCAAAAGTCAGGGGTATTAGTTTATCTAAAAACAACATATAAAGCAGAACATCAGTGAAACAACTTCTTACATGTAGCTTAATTTCAGCTTGTTATTTTTTTAACTGTATGATACATGCATGTTGGAAATCTTCACTTGTTTTTGTGCCAAAACTATGTGTAAATAATTTAAAAAGTACCTTTGGCTACTTTTTCAATGAGAGCTTTACTTAATTAAAATAAGTCAAATTACATTTTACTCCCAGTCTAGATTAACTGTAACTTTAGGATGTTTTAATCTTTAGTTTGTCTTATGAGCAATAAAATAAGTATACAACAAAAGCCTGTAAAAGGTGTTGATGTTTTCCTCAAGACTCTGAATAAAGTTCTGTGAGTTTGAATGATATATAAGAGCATTAAAAGCAGGAATAAACAGATGCATGAAGATATTTACATGACTAAAAAAAACATCACTTTTGTCTCTGTTCATCACTAAAGTTGATTTATTTTGTTGAAAACTTTAGTAGTTTTGACCAAAGGGGGAAATAAATAAATCAAGTGTGAAAACTTGTTTATATCTTATAATAAAATGCTTTCTTAAGATGAACGGAGGCGATGCACGGCAGGAGCTTTTAAATTTCCAACGTTTAACGTTTTTGTGGTGTTTTTAGGAGAAAAGTGCAGCTGTCAAGCAGATCTGTGTAGATTTTAATGACAGCGGTGATTAACTCAGTCCCTGCAGATCAGATCACCTCCTGCTGCCGTTGATGCAGAACTTTGAGTTCCTCTGTTGTGAATCTGAGTCTGTTCTTTCACTGCCGTTTATTAAAAGTAGTGATTAGACGACAAAACCAGCTCCTGCTGTTGCCTCTGATTAGACACATTAAAGACTGTTTGATGAGGTCTTCACAGCTTGTTGCTTGTCCCCCCCCCAGGTACAGAGCTATAGTGAAGCCTCTGGACAGCCACAGATCCAACCCCACGCTCAGCATCAGCCTACGTGTCGGGTCCATCTGGCTGCTCTCCTTAACTCTGGCTATTCCCGAGGCCGTCTTCTCCGACCTGCACACCTTCACCACCAGCCACACCAACGAGACATTTGTGACCTGCGCGCCTTACCCCCACGCAGGGGAGCTGCACCCGAAGATCCACTCCACCGCCTCCTTCCTCATCTTCTACGTGCTCCCGCTGCTCATCATTTCTGTTTACTACGTGTTCATCGCTCGCAGCCTGGTCAGCAGCTCTGCAGACATCTCTGCTGAGGGACACCTGCACCTCCACAAACAGGTGTGGCTTCAAACTCTAATGTGTGTTTGCGCAGTTTCCCAAGAGAGTGCTTTCTTTTATAGTGTTCAGATTTTATTTTAACAAGAACAAAACTAGCCGTTCAGTTTGCACGTGACCACAGTCCGCCTGGACTCGTTCAGCTTTAATGAAAGAAGAAGCAGACTCAGTTTGATTGAAAACAACAGCAACATCTGGAAGGGAAAGACAACTATGTCCCTGCTTTATTGTTCACTTTTAGCAACAGGACGCCATATTAACAACAGTGTTGAAACCAATGAAGCAAAGGTTCACATTAACCATTAACTCGTTAACTTTAATGAGTTTGTTTTCAGTTTTGTGTCATTCTAAAACACTTTTTTTTTGTGTGTAAATCTTTCTTGGAGAAAACAGCTATTCATGTTCAATAGCTTTTCAGCACATTTGTATAATAATTATTATAATTATTATTAACAAAAATAACATGTAAGAATGAAAATAGAGCTGGCTGCAGCCTGCCAGCATTTCAATGGAAGAAAAGGCACTTTGTTGCCAAACGCTTGTCTTTGTCACGGCCTCCTAAATCTTCTGGTTGCTCAGCAACTTTTCAAACAGTCCCAGTTTTACCACAACGAGCTGCTTGCACTCTTTTTTTCCTGAATGGATTAAAGGAAGCATTGCTGCACTGAAAGGCATCAACCTACAAACAACTGATCATTTCCCACCTTTTTCAGATGTCAGTCTAAATCAGGGCTATTCAACTGGCAGCCCGTGGGCCATTTCCGGCCCGCAGGTGACTTCAATCTGTCCCACTTCATTATTTTGTTTATTTTTTGGGGGGGTGGTTCTAGGTTTGGGTTCTGGTTATTGCATTTATGATTCAATGCAATAAAATAAACACATTTAAAAGTAACAGATCATTTTAAACTTTGGTTTATAATGATTTTAATCACTGGATGTCCGGCATGACTTTCAGAAACTATGGCCCTCTGAGCAGTTTTGTTCAATAGCCCTGATCTAAATGATGTGGTGGTAGTTGAGAGTCATCCACAACACATACTCTGAAAGTGACATTTTCCTATATTATGTTAGATATATGTTAGACGGCTTCAAGGTGATTCTGGTCCACCATCCGGCGTCTCAGGGGGGAAAGCGGTACGCCACCAACACTGTTTATAGTGGGGGTGGTGTGCTGCTGACCTCAACTTGGGATGTCGTGGGTCGGTGGGCAGAATACTTTGAAGACCTCCTCAATCCCAACGGCACATCTTCCACTGAGGAAGGGGTCTCTGGATCGGGCCCTCCAATCTCTGGCGCAGAGGTCACCTAGGTGGTTAAAAAGCTCCTCGGTGGCAGGGTCCCAGGGGTGGATGAGATTCGCCCGGAGTTCCTTAAGGCTCTGGATGTAGTAGGGTTGTGTTGGCTTACGTGACTCTGCAATATTGTGTGGACATCAGGGGACAGTCCCCTGGATTGGCAGACCGGGGTGGTGGTCCCCCTATTCAAAAAGGGGCACCGTAGAGTGTGTTCCAACTACAGGGGGATCATGCTCTTAAGGCTCCCTGGTAAGGTCTATTCGGGGGGTTCTGGAGAGGAGGGTCCATCGGATAGGCGAACCTCGGATTCAGGAGGAGCAGTGCGGTTTTCATCCTGGTCGTGGAACACTGGACCAGCTCTGCACTCTCAGCAGGGTCCTAGAGGGTGCGTGGGAGTTTGCCCAACCGGTCTACATGTGCTTTGTGGACTTGGAGAAGGCGTTCGACCGCGTCCCTCTGGGAACCCTGTGGCAGGTACTCTGGGAGTATGGGGTACCGGGCCCTTTGATACGGGATGTTAGGTCCCTGTATGACTGGTGTCAGAGCCTGGTCCGCATTGCCGGCAGTAAGTCGGACTTATTCCCGGTGAGAGTTGGACTCCGCCAAGGTTGCCCTTTGTCACCGATTCTGTTCATAACTTTTATGGACAGAATTTCTAGGCACAGCCAAGGTGTTGAGGGGATCCGTTTTGGTGGCCTTAGGATTGCTTCTTTGCTTTTTGCAGATGATGTGGTCTTATTGGCTTCATCAGATCGTGATCTACAGCTTTCGCTGGAGTGGTTCGCAGCTGAGTGCGACGCGGCCAGGATGAGGACCAGTTCCTCCAAATCCGAGGCCATGGTCTTGAGCTGGAAAAGGGTAGAGTGCCCTCTCCGGGTCAGGGAGGAGGTCCTACCCCAAGTGGAGGAGTTCTAGTATCTTGGGGTCTTGTTCACGAATGAGGGAAAAATGGAGCGTGAGATCGATAGACGTATAGGTGCAGCGTCTGCAGTGAAGCGGGTGCTGTACCGGTCTGTCGTAGTGAAGAGAGAGCTGAGTCAAAAGGCGAAGCTCTCAATTTACCAATCGATCTGCGTTCCTACTATCATCTATGGTCATGAGCTTTGGGTTGTGACCAAAAAAATGAGATCTTGGATACAAGCGTCCGAAATGAGTTTTCTCCGCAGGGTGTCTGGGCTCTCCCTTAGAGACAGGGTGAGAAGCTCGATCATCCGGGAGGGACTCAGAGTAGAGTTGCTGCTTCTCCACGTCGAGAGGAGCCAGTTGAGGTGGCTCGGGCATCTGTTTAGGATGCCTTCTGGACGCCTCCCTGGTGAGGTGTTCCGGACACGTCCCACCGGAAGGAGGCCCAGAGGAAGACCCAGGACACGCTGGAGGGACTATGTTTCTCGGCTGGCCTGGGAACGCCTCGGGATTCCCCCGGAGGAGCTGGACCAAGTGGCTGGGGAGAGGGAAGTCTGGGCCTCCCTACTTAGGCTGCTACCCCCGCGACCCGACCCCGGATAAGCGGAAGAAAATGGATGGATGGATGTTAGATTGCACATAACATTATGTTCAAGTAGGTTTTATTGTTGTTTCAACACATGTGGTACATGAGGTGGAACAAAATTATTTACACAGGGTCCCAGTTACACCCAACAATAGCCAAATTATATATTAACTAAGATATATGCTAAACACTAATACTGTTTATGTGCATAATAGTTTATTTTCAAGGTTTGACCCAAATAACTTCATTATTTCTCATTAGAAGATTATCTTAGTTTCAAACTCTGGCATGAAAAATGATGAGTGAGCAGCAGCCAAGGTCAAAAAAAAAAAAAAAAAAAACTTTGAAAGAACTTCAGAAACTCTGGGGAACAGATTAGGACAATTATAAAAGATGCAAAAAAAAAAAATGTGACTGCTTGCAAGCAAATTATAAGTTAATTACGGGTGAATGGAGACTTTTGTTAAGTACTTTAAATGATTTGAATTAGCAGGAGCATAGCTACATCTTTAAGAAGGTCCTGGGTTCAATCCCCGGTTGGACCTGGGGTCTTTCTGGGTGGAGTTTGCATGTTCTTCTCGTGCTTGCGTGGGTTTTCTCCGGGTACTCCGATTTCCTACCACAGAACAAAAACATGCATGATAGTCTGCCTTCAGGCCCAGGCCTCTCTTGCAAAAGAAATCTGTGATCTCAGTGGGATTTGCTTGGTTAAATAAATTAAATAAATAAATCTGAGGCTTACTGTGATGTGTTTTCAGGGAACAAACAGTTACAAATAAGTAAATTAAAATAGCACAATGACAGACATTTTAAATCTCTTTTATTGTTTCTTTTTGTCAGATCAAGTCCCGGAAGCGTTTGGCCAAAACCGTGCTGGTGTTCGTTGGCCTGTTCGCAGTCTGTTGGCTCCCCAGTCACGTCATCTACCTGTACCGCTCCTACCACTACGGCCAGGTGGACACATCACTAGCCCACTTCATCGCCAGCGTGTGCGCTCGCGTCTTGGCCTTCACCAACTCCTGCGTGAACCCGTTCGCTCTGTACCTGATGAGCAAAAGCTTCAGCAAACACTTCAGAAAGCAGCTGCTGTGCTGCAGCTCTCCCAGGCAGCTGTACAGTCAAAGCAGCGCCAGCACCAACATAACCACCGTCTGAAGGAGTTCAAACCAGCGCACTATAGCTGCTTCAGCAGGACTCCCCCAACGCTGACGCAATGAACACATTCGTAAATTATTTTCAAATGCTTGACAACTTTCCAAAATGAAAAGGTACTTTAGCTTTTTTTTTATACAAAAGACAAAGGTGTTACAGATTTAAAGACGCTTGAACTGAACTTTGAGACATATTCCCTGTTGTTGTGTTTGTTTTTCATAGCAGTAATATTAAAAAGGGGCATTGTATGGCTTAAAACCCCAAATTATTTAGACATAAAAGTTACAGTATGTGTCATTTGATGCTTTTATATAAAACTGAAATGATCTCAGCAGTCATTATTAGTGAATGCAAAGCAGTTTTGTTGTGCACATTTTCATTGCTTTAAAGGTTAATGAGGCAGTGTTTATTTATTGTTAGGGAACTTTTGGTCAAAGTTGATGGAAGTTTTTAACCACTATGGCTTAGAATATCCTGATGCATGCTCAATAATCCAGATAGAAAAATCTAAAAAAGTTAAATCTGGTCTTCTGGACATAAAAAAAAAAAAAAAAAACACAAAACAAAACAAATAAATTGTAGAAATGTTTCGTCTTTCATCCGAAAGACTTCTTCAGTCTGAGGTGCTGTATTCAGCTCAGTCTTATAAATAGCACCCTCTCGCAGTGGATCAGCCAGTCTGCTGCTGACAGCAGCAACAGACCCCACTGCGAAAGGGTTCTATTTATAAGCCTGAGCTGAATACAGCACCTCAGACTGAAGAAGTC